ATACTAATTTATATCGTTTATTTTATATGCAATCAGCTGTTAAATATAAAAAATTGGTATCGTATTCTTAAAAACAAATACATAATTTATATCTATTTATATCTCTAATCATTTAATATCACTTTATTCATCTATAAATACACAAATTTATTATTATTTATTAAAAATTATAAATGGAATTTACAACTACACTCTATTACATATTTATAATGAATTAAATTGAATATATATTATAAATTTAGAAATCGTCATATTATATAACATTACATGTTACATAGAATTTTTTAAAACATGAACAAAAGGATACGATTAAAGCCAATCGAAGGAAACATTAGAAGATTAAAATTCATGTTAATTGTATATCTTAATCGACAATTTTAATAAAATGATTCTTATCGTTACATAACATTACGTGTCGGACACAATGACACACATAATATATATTATTAACTATAGCAATAATTTGATGATATAACAATTAATGATTGTAACGATGATCAACGTGTCATCATAATGTACGATAACAATCGAACGCAATAGCAATATAATAAGGAAGTGAACATATAATAAAATATACTGTATGTACAATTTGTCGAGCGCATTGACAACAATCGGCGCACGATTCCTTCTATCGATTAAAACAACAAACTTACATTAGCAGATACGCTGGATCCCCTTAGCTTATCTAAGGATATATGTATAACAACCGCGTTCATGCGTGTCCAAAAAGTGACAGATAACACCCAGCGCTTACAAAGCGTCAAAAAGTGCTAAAGAAGCGCGTATAAGCAAGCGCTGCTGTGCTACTTGGGATTGAAAGAATAGATCCATCCTTTTCTTTGTGTCACTCCTCCATATGTTCCTCGTACTTAAAACAAAATAAGTATATGCTCACGTGCTTTGAAGAGACATAAGAGAACGATAAAGAAAAGGATTATAGTAATAACAATATACATATGTCTGACAACAAGATATATCTGGGATTGCACTCCTTCGACGCGTATGAACGTAGTTAAATAAAAATAACAGAAAACAAAATGTTCAAAAAACTTGCTCGATATGTGAAGTCTAATTGCTCTTTCTTGTTCGCACAATTATGTGCCAGCGATTAATACTAATTGTATATTTACAAATCTCAAATAAGAGCAAAAAGAACGTAAAACCGGAATGGTCCCAGTATGGTTGGCCCGAACCGATGAAATCTTTTCTCTCCGCAGATCTTCTAAACAAATAATATGTATATATTTATATATATCTCTCTCTTCCTCTAAGTATACTTCTCACAATCAATAAAATCTAGAAAGTCTAATCTCGCAGGCTTAAAATATATATATATATATATATTAGATCGTGGTCCCCGTTAAACCATGTCTTCTTCTTGATAAGTTGAGGTGCAAGTTCTGTGATTTGTGAGTCTCTTTAAAGTTCAGCGAAATAAAAACTGGTGTTCCTTCGAGAATTACACAGATACTTCAGGTTTGCTGCCCTCTCTGAATCTTCGATTTCTTCATCATTCACTCATTTATTTTATGTTTTGTGTGTCGTAAAATTATTTATTTAACTGCAATATTAATATGTATATAGCAACCGCGGATGAATCAGATTGGAGGATGAATCAGATTTCGAATCGAGCAATTTCTCTTCGATAAAAATTTGCTTATACTTTCGTTGGTTTCAGTGATTCGAATCCCACTAATCCTTTTATCTGCTGTTGCTGCACCACGAGCTACTCGAGTTACTTAAATCTATAAAATTCGCGATACAATAAAGAAGATAATAAGATACAGCAGTTAAAACGATACAAGAAACATTCATTCTTGATGTGACTACGAAACCATCCTTTGTATAATAACGCATATATAACATACATGGATGTATCGTCGATACGTATGATAGAACGTATTATTTCTTGAGTCAAACGTCATTTATCCAAAAAGCTTGCACGTTTTTAAAGAAGCTTTTTTACTGAAAACCTACAATCTGTTCTGAAATTAAATTAAAAGAAAAAAGCACAAGAACGTTCACCTCGTCAATTCTAAAATGTGATGAGTAAGACGTCGTTTCTTACAAGCACAGTGGAAAAATGCATAATATGTGAGGGAAAAAAGACAGGAGATTCTCAATGTGTAACCGGTCGTTGTTTCATCTCGCGCGATCGCGCGAATATCGATCTTCTCGTCGCTGTTTGCGTTCATTCCACTTTCCGGAACATTACAGCGAGCGCGGCAGGAATTCACGACGGAGAAAAGGAGAGACATAACGTAGCGCGGAATTAAAAGCGGAATTAAAAGCGCGACCCCGCCGAGGAGCGTGATACTTTTCGCGGCGCCAAGACGACGAGGCGAAAAAAGGTGACGGAGAGAAAAAGCGAGAAAAGGTGGAGAAACGACAAGGCGCATAAAATCCAGTTGGCAAAAACGAGCAAAACGAGCAGCTGTTACGCGGTGCGTTCCGTTCTCAACGCCGTCATTATACAGGACTCTCCTTGCAAGACGGCGGCGCCAATTGCGCAGAAAATTGCGATACCGCACCGGCGGGACGAGTTCTCGCCGCATCGGTACGGAAAACGACCAGGAGAACTTGGGCGAATAATAAAATGAAAACGAGACGCGGCTCTCGTTTGAGGGAACTGGCCGGCTGTGTCGATCGAACGGATTGGTACCGCAGGTATATATAAATAGGTAGTCGGTACCACTGTGGCTTGAATCTTCTGTCCGAGGGACAGGATTCCCGCGAGTTTCCCGTCCCCGGTTTCATGCCCGTCCCGTTCTGATCACCGCGGAAAAAACGTAGTCCGCTCACTCGCGATCGTTTGTGGAAATGCGACTGGAGTCGCGAACCCGGTTTATCCCGCGACTTCGAGAGCACGTGGAGCGTAAATACTCGATGGACAGAACTGCATAAGGCCGATAAGTGTCAGATAAGAACAGCGGGCGCGCAATTAATCCGCTAGGCCGTGCGGTAATTAACGAAAATGGGCCAAGCCTGAGATACTTGGTTTTACATGCGGTGCTTTTAATAATAAAATAGTCTCTGTGTCGTTTTATAAAAGCTTTGTGAGATATTTTAAATAAACACACAAGGGTAAAGGGCGTCTTTTTTTAGACGGAAACGACACGTGGCACGTTATACTTTTTTGACACTTTGTGGTTTAAATTAATTAATCTCAATAAATATTTAAGTGCAAAATTTTTGGAGATTTCAAGCAACAGACCTATTAGTCTCGCGCTTTCAATTTCAGTCAAAGAGATAATCGTTCTATCAACACGACGACTCGTAAGAACAGATCTCTAGGACTGCGTCCGTATCCTAAGCTTACGTCGTAGGCTCTTGAGCTACCGTGTACAGATTGTGACAGGACGGAATAATGCATCCAAGCGGTTTACGGTGTTTACAGTAACTTGATATGTTTCTTGCGCTTTTTCCGCCTGTCTAACGTAAAGCGACACGCGATAAGATTCCCGCGGAAAATAGGTCATACCGATAGAAAATCAACTGAGTTCCATTCTTCGAAATTTTCGCCGCGATGTGACTCAATGAACATGAAGTAAGAAACTTGTTTTTTATAATAGAAAATCTTTAAATTCTATTTAATTAAAATAAGTTTCCTCTTATATATATAAAATAGAAAAGTTAGGACAGGATAGAAGAATGTATAAGCAAATCACGAAAATTTGAAGATTAGGAACTTAGTTCCACAAAGAATGGATCTCTATCTATTCCTTCTGTATAACTCGCTTATTCCCTGGCAGGAAAAATACTGTTTTCATATGTAGACCCACATTGATATCTTACGTGCTTCTCTCGCAAGAAAAAAATGCGAGGAACTCCGACTGTTAACGTGACTGATAACGACATTCCTTGATCAAGAATACCATTTCCCGACATATGATTATTTCATAGTGACGATTGTCTTTTGTCTTTAAAAAAGATAGAGTATTATAAATTCAAAGGAAAACACTATTATTATTGAATAAATATGACCAATTGTCGTATTTATAATCTTTAAATTATAATTGATAAAATGTTTTAAAATGCAAAAATTCGTATCAATTTATAAAAAACCATTGATGAAATCGACGTGCATTTCTTCGTATTAACATCACAAATATCCAATAAATTTAAGAGCCTAATGAGATAGCAAATTTTTCCTCTTATTTAATAAGCTCGAAATTGAAGAAAATACATGAAAACATTTAATGTTTCTTCTAAAATATAATAATTCTTCAAATTTAAAGAAGCAAAAATGCGTTTCTAGATTCTTCCCTCCAATACATGATGACAACGATTGCTGAGACATTGCCATTCGGCATGCAATAAATATGTGATACAAACTGAATAATTCTAAGATCGCCACATTTTTAAATACACGTCTTGCATAAGAACTACGCGCAATAAAATGCACTTTTTGTCTCTGCGCCGCGCGGTGTTTTCGTGACCGTTTCACGAACGCGATGATGAGGTCTCATATTAAGAACGCGGATCGAGGATCGAAGTGATTCGATAGCTTTTGAGTAACAGTGGCGGAAGTTCCACGTTTCTAGAGCACGAGAGCGAATTTTACATCGCCATGCATTCCTTAGCACCACCAAATATTGACAAGTGTATTACTTATCTATCATCGACTCATTCTGGTCCTGCTGAGAAAGATGGAAGCCAGATTTCAGCCTGGAGAGACGCATTACACTCGGCATTACCTTGAGGAGAAGCATCCGCAAGATGGAGTCGACGCCCGGCATCTCCACTTCATCGTGGAAGTTGTGTCCATACCCACCGTTTCATTAAGGTCGTGCTTCAACCTTGACCTCCTTGTGACCAAACGCGGTTCCACATTCCGGACTTACCGCCGAGAACACGTTTTCCTCGCCCGCATCGTCGAAGACGGGGAAGAGTGCCGCGACTGTTCATTGATCTCGGCAGCTCATTAATCTCTATCTCTAGTAGAGGAAAAGGTATTCGCGAAATCGGTCGATCGGATCTTCCGGCCATCGTCTCGATTCCCCCGTCGACGAGCCGAGAAAGCGGCGCGAGGACTTTTAAGGAGGGACGACTACGTCGATGTTAATCGTCGCTCACAGATGCGTGATGATGATCTCGTCGTCGAGATCATCCTTTTCGTCGTCGGTTTCTTCCAGCTGATTCGCCTCGGCGGCTGCTTGGGCAGCCTTCGGATCCTCGGCGATCGCTTTGAGCCGCCGTTGCTTGCGTCTGTGCAGCAACTCGACGATGATGTAGCCTATGGTACCAATGATCAGCACCGTCAGCATCACATATAGCTTCATACGGGCGCAGAGATGTGTGCTATACGCGTAGGCGATCACAAAGCCGGCACTCTCCCACAGCCTGTAGTTCGAAAAGGCTGCCTCCTTGTTACGCCTAAATAGCGTACCATAGAGTCCTGTAACAGTCAATATAATAAATAATCGTCGCGGTAATTTGGATAGTAAGGAAAATTTCAAAATAATTTAGCATCTAAAAAATTTATCTACACAAAATTTCCACGATTAAAAGTATTGATATTAGAGGTGACAATTTTTTTATTCGGTTACATTAATGATCTTTCAAGCAAAATAGAAAAATAAAAATATATTCGGAAAATCTCTCTTCCTCTCTTTTTTTATTCATTAGGAAATCCCTGGATTTACGTTACATTACATATTGGACATTAGGAATTCGTGCACTTAACTAAAACATAAACGATTTAAATGATCTCATTTGTTGCGGATTAACTTGGCAGGTGCTTTTATCGGATCCGCGACTACAAATAGGTGCATCCAGGTACTACATTATGCACCGAGGTCGATCGTTTTGCGTTCATCCTATTTGACGGCGAGATAACGAGCTCACAGATGGATCGAATCCTTGACTCGGCACTCTCTAGATGCGCTTTCAGAAAGCACGTAACAGCGATAATAATAGTGCTGCCGATGATGCACGAGATGCCGCATTAAGGAAATAAATTACTCAAATGGAAGCGGGAAATCCGTGGGAAAGAATATATGAGAGTGTACATATTTGAGTCTATTATTATGACGATAGTCTTAATCGCTAAAAAGGTTTATATTTCAATTAAAAAGAATGTACTGAAACTTAAAATAGAATTTTTCATCTGATTTTCAAAACTGTACAATAACAACTTATTTTAACATGAAAAGCTTCGAAATTCCTCGAAGAAAATTTCTGCTGTATATTGGTTGCTATAATTTCGGAGATTTTTCTGTGACACTTTTTAGAAGTATTCTTAGCTAATAATTAACGTTGCTTATTATTGTTTAACACGCTAAATTAGAAGTTCTCACGGTACGCACAATTAACCGGATGTAAAGCAAATACAGTTGTCTACGTTGTATGCTTTTGTATACACGTAGTTAAATAGATTTGCATATCGGTTTCTGCAAAATAACGTGACTCAGAACAGATTGAAACGGCGGAGAGTGAATAATCCTGCAAAAAAACTGTCAAGGCAAAAATATGAGACTCGCTTTTCAGACGTGTAGGTCCGTGCAGAAGCTCTAATTATATACAAAGACAAATCCTGATGTACGCAAGCAACGCGAAATTACTGTGTGCTATTCGATTATTTACTATACACGCGAACCGCGGCTGTAAATGCAAGCGAAAATTGTATCAAAATTATTAAAGCATCGCTCAAATTTTTTCCGACTCAGAAAAAAAGAGGACACAATTTATCTAATAAAAAAATTTTTAATTTATATTTTTTGATAAGGATATCTTTTTTTTTATAACTACAAACGTGATGATGTCGAGACATACAATGAATATGGAATATGAATCGAAATGTCCTTGAATGTGAATCAAACCCTGGAACTAAGTATGAGAGATAAGTATTGAATTTTTTAATACATTATCTCTGAATTTTTTATATATTTCTTTATATTTTTTTAATGATCAACGAATAAGAGGAATAATCGTCTTCCTTTGATGCTATAACAAGCGCGGATATTTACTCAATTTAATATGAGTAAATTTTTTGCGAGAAGCAAAGAGAACATTTATATTTTTACAGCAAGTACAAAAACGCTGAAAATATTTCTTATTTAGAAAAAATTTAGCATGTGTAGTCTAGAATATTCATTGTCTAGAATATTTTATGCACACTGAAATATTTTACCTCGTCACAAAATTGAGATTCAAAATCATGAATATTTTCTTTAAATGGCTCCTCAGGACGTTCATCTTGAAAAGCACTGTCATAATTATACGTATTTATTAATTTGACCAATTATACGACTGTCACATGTACAAATCATAAAGAAAATTACGTTATAATCGATCAGACAGACGATAATCATAGAAGCAATTTAACCGCTCATTAATTCGCAATTTATTACTTCCTCTTGGCACACGCTTAATTTTTTTATAGATTACGTCATTAAACTTTCTACCTACCATTTTATCAATAATAAGTAATCATTAAAAGGGAAACACTTTTTACGAATGACATCCGCTTGGAAAATCAAAATTTACATAATGCAAAATATCAAAGCCAAGTTTCATAAATTCTACACTGATTGTGAGGAAAATTCCTGGTTGAAAATAGACGAATTAGAGGATTCTATATCAATCAGACTTCTAGTCAAGATAATCAAATGTCCAATTATGATGACTGGAATTCTAATTAATATGATCAGAACCTTCTGGTTCATCCATTTTTAAACAAAAATTTTTCTCAGTTGTGTCAACTCAATAGCGAAGAAATTGGCACATTATCTCTTTTTTTGGACTGGATCGATCAGTGACCTTAACTTTCAGGCCTCAGCAGGACGTTAATATTGATGAGAAGCAATATATCTCCAAATACTCCTTATCGCGAATGCGTTAAAGTCGCTCATCAAGTGTCCGTTTGATCTATCAATATTCGTACTATATTGACTGCGAATAAACAAATGCGAAATATAGCCGGTAAATCTTGATGACGGAGTCGCTGGCTTATGATCAAAATTCATGAATCCGGTTTTCGAGAAGACCCACTGAGTAAACAAATCTATACATCTCTAAAACAATTCCCTATCTCTCGCCGCACTACGAACTTCAATCCGCTAATATTAAATATTTTCTTTAGTCTTGCAATACGATATACAATTTACTTTATTCGATTGTATGAACAATAGAGCGTCACACAAATTATGGATTCCGACATTGAATACTATATAATCTTTTTTGTTCTTGTAATGTGTCATCTGATTCAGGGCGTTCGATTTTGCCAGCCATATGGCTAATAACGTCCGACATATAATATTTTTAACTAATGTTTATTAATATTTTTAGAAATATTTCATTGTTTTAATTAAAATGACTATTATAAAATTAGCACATCAAAAGGATCGACAGTTTTTTAAAATCGTTCCAACCAGCACAGTATCTTTTCTCACGTAAAAGATTTTTTAAGTTTTTTCTCGCAACATATTAGCTGACATTAACATGTAGTTTTACACTCACCGTTAACCTGCGTCTGCCACACGGCATCGCCCACACCCCACAGTCCTGAGACCGAGAAAAAGACATAAGGATTGTCGGGATGAGGCTTCCACATGAGGAGAACAACTACGAGAGAGGCATGAACGATGGCACCCAACGCCATCAGTGGCTGTCTGCCGACAAATTTCATTAATGAGCCAAATAGCAAGGAACAGCCGGCGTTAACCACCCCAAAGCAGATCATGACGTAGCCGACTCTGTGGACGCCCAGGGCGCAGGAGATGTATGCCTGGAAAAACACAAAAGAATTCAATTTAATGTCTTTAAAATTAAAATTACAATGTTATTGGCTATGTTGAATCAAATTCAATAGAATACAAAATCAGAGCTATTATAGCTCAGCTGGTTGATGTTTGCTAATAATTTATTAATATGATATAATCGTGAAATTAGTTTAGACGTTTTCACCATAAATGTGGTCCTTTTCAATGAATAAATTAATTAAAATCGCATGTCAACAGTAAAATCTTACGCTAAGAGATCTTCTATCCATTATATTGTCAGTATATGTGGTCTTTGTGATGTGTTTTCTTTGATTTATTAGCGTCCTCATGGTGTGTCAAGTTATAAAATTTGTAGAATAGTGAACAGAGAAATCATAGTTTCCAAATCTGTGATTGCAATATTAACAGAAATTTCGTAGATCTTAAAAGTAATAATGTAACCTTCCTTTTTGACAGAACATTGACGAATTAATGTCTTTATTTTTTTTTTTTAATCAAAGGTAGTCTTCTGAATTCGAACGTTGCAAAAATTTTTGATATATCAGATAGATAATTGAAACATACGTATATTATTAGAAATTTAAGAAATTGTATGAAAATGATTAACGTTTCTCATCAAATACTAATGATAATGGAATTAATTTTTTGTTACTTTACAATATCCTATCAAAACTTACTATAAAGACAATAAGAAAACGAAAATAAAAGAAATTGATCAACATTTCTTATAGAAAGAAAAGAATTAATGATTTGCAATAAATTATGATTTTGAAACTTCTTTTTCTTTCTCTCTGATATAAAAATCTCTAATATAAATACGTGATGCCATATACATTTTAAATTTGTATACAACATAGTTGCAATATCTGTGAGATGTAATCGGGCTCTTTCATTTCTGTTGCTTACACTCGCTTTCATATACTGACAGGATTTATATATGTACATGTTAATTTGATTTTCAAAGCACAACGATTCTTAATTGGTTTGAATAACTATTAACAGCTTTTACAAGCAAAAGAATATTAAATCTTTTTTTTTCTAAGCTGAATCAATGAGTTTGTTCTGAAGGAAGTTGATATCTGTCTTTGTATGTATTTATAACAGCAATTATAATCCCATCAATCATTGTTGACATAATGAAACGACAAACTGAGATTTAGCTCGAACTTTTTTAACTTGTGGACTTTTTTAGTATCTTTATTACCATCTAAATTCATTATAATGACATAAGATCTTGAGGATATATTATCGAAATGCCGACACGCATGTCCTTGAATCCTTCATTACAAGAATTCTTTTCATTTTTTTCTGTTCTTTTTATGTTATTATATTATTTTTTAATTCTTTTTTTATTCTTTTTACTATTATATTTTTAGGACTATTTAAAACCGCAGCCAGTTTTTCATTTAAAACAAGAATAATAATCAAAATATTATATTGAAAACAAAATATATTTTAGAATTAAGGAAAAAATTTGACGTTGTGTCGAGCGAGATAACATTTGGAACTGCATAGAAAACGACTAAAGCAAAAGAGAAATAGTAACTTTAAAAAGAATTATTATTAGACATTGATATGTCATTAATCATAAAACGGATAAAATTTAATTTTGAGCTACATAGATATTCAATTGCCAACTTTAAATGCACGACGTCAAACATTTTATAAAATGTTTTATGAACACGTTACATACGTTAATCCATATTGATTAACTATCGATATATCAAGCGTCATAAAATGTAACACGAGATTTTAAAGTTGATAGACAATAGAGATTATATGTTTTCGTAAAAGTTATATTCAAAGTAGCCATAAAAATGTCTAGGCGCAATTATCTTTCGCAATATACGAACATCGTACCTTCTCGTCGCTTTAAGCTTCCAAATAAGGTTTACTATTATACTATAGTACTAATCTTGAACGAGACACTTCTTCAATTACTTATATATTTGTAGCATTATCTTGACAGAAGGTGCATTATATATAAAGCGTATTTATCGCGTGATCATTTCATGCTGATCGTTAACGCATAAATGCCCATTTAAACGCAAGACGCCCTTCGTAATATCGGAACCAGAATTTTTACAGCAGGGTCGCAGCCACGCCGAAGGACATTTAATGTCGTCTTACGTCTTACGATAAGTAGCGATTCAACGTTTAATCAGACACGCCGTCATTTTAGACGTCACGGCTACATTATTGCATAAAATAACATATCTTCAATTCTTCCTGTATTATAATTAATATATAAATTGTATAATCTCAGGTACATATTTTAAAGAACGAAGTGATTTATTTGTAATATCGCGCGTAATATATATCCGCTGTAATCTTTTACACCGTGTATGAAAGTTCAATTTTTATTACATTTGTAACAACATTTTCGATGTAGGTGTAAGAACTCCACACGGAATGTATTACGTTGATAGCTTGAAGTGATCTTTTTTTCAAATCAATAAAATTTGCATTCGAGCATTTCCTTTTCCATACGTAATGTCATATAATATTATATCATCCGTGGCTCTCAAGGTGAGCAACTACCTCATTAAAACAGTTTGATAAGTAAATTTCTGAAACATTAAAAAAAATTTAGTAAAAAAAGTGCGATTAACAAACAAATTTCACTGTTCTGACCAGTAACAACCTATAAATAGGCAAATTATTTCTTCTAAAAATCTAAATATATATAATGTTTTTTGTTGCTTACGTGGACCACATAAAATTCTAAAACTTTTTAACAATGTTTTAAAAAAATTGGAATGAAAGAGTCAGGGGAGCTTATACACTGTTAAAAATTAAAAATAAAATGTTAATTTTAACATTTTTGCATGTTTCAGAAAGTTCACTGTACATCTTTAAGTTGAAATTAATATTTTATTTTTAATAGCGTACATTTAATTAACTCTTCGCGTCAAATTGTGATTAACAGCTCCTACAAGTCGAGTGTAGAGTTTCATTGAACTCGAAATCATCGCATTCTTTTAATATTTTTGCGCAATTCTCCACTGAACGATATCCGTGAACGTTTGAATGGGATTATATGTCCCGAGGCGTTCACGAGATCAGACCGGAGAGAACGGTGACTACGACACGTGCATGCATACACGTGCATGTATGGCATGTTAAGAAATACTGATACACAAGATTCCAGATATGGAAGCGGTATCGCCGGATCGGCGCGAGAATAAGCTTGCAGGGCTATTTATAACAGGTCCAGCGCCACAGCTGACTCAGCAGAGCCTACAACTACCACGTTTTGCTCATTTTTTTTCCTTTTTCTTTTTCTTTCCGTTTCATTTTCTCGGCGCGGATTTAATTGCCCAATTATCCGGCTTCACGAGTCAAAGACGTCGTACGACCTATCGGCGAACCAATTTCGAACGAATCGCAACTCGCGAACCAGAGGTTGTTTTTGCCATAATGCAGGGTCGCTCAATAATGAGGGGGTTCATCCGATGCGACCTTCCTCGATTAATTCCAGTTCCTTACGTGAGACTCAAGCTCTTTTTGTAATTTTCATGTAGATTAATAATGAGCAATATCTGACAGTTTTGCAAAATATACCTAACTCCTCAACAAAACCTACTTTTACATGGAAATAATTCATAAGAAGTAATGTAAAGAAAATACGACATATTCTTGTGCGTTTTATTTTGGAAAAAGCAAACTATCCAGTAGCCTGAAGTGGTTTTACATTGTCTTAAATATTATTTTTCAAGTTTTATAACATTTCAGAAATGATCTTTATGTAGAAAATATACTGGAAAATAAATACTGAATGTTAATAAATATTTATTTTTCTAAGCAAATATTTACTAAATGTAAACATATATTTATTTAATACAAAAACCATTAATTTTATTTAACTATTACTTTTTTATTGAGTAAATATTTATTTACTGTAAGTTTACGTTTAATTATTACTATTTTAAAAAATATGTATTAAGACTCAATAAATTTCTTTTTCAATATACCATTATATGTTTTTGATTGATCATTACAAAAAAGAGCAATTCTAAAGAAATAGCTGGAACTTGGGAATCTCTCTCTCTCTCTCTCTCTCTCTCCGAAGATAAGAAAAGACTGATCCGTTAAAACTGTAGTAGCTTAATCATAATCGTATCGCAAAAAATCAACTAACTCGTTGGCGGCTGCTCGATGCCGCTTCGAGGTGTGTTTTTGCTGACAGTCATGGGATGCCGTATTTGTAACGTTCGAGAGAAGGTAAAGATACGGGATATCGTTGGGCGGGTCGATTACTGGGTAGACAGTATATAAATTACGCAAATCCATCTTTCCAATCGGGAGTGATTAATTTGAACGCGGCCAGTGATTACCGCCGTATTCTTTCTCTCTTTCACCGTATATCCGAGAACTTCTTAGAGAGATTTTTAATTACATTCCCTATACTATATGTAAACAAGTATCGCGCTACATCCTGTATATTTAAATACCTTTTGGTTTAATGATGCTTTTGCTCGCATGTCAGACATACGTACATCACATTAAAAACGTCTGCTGTAAATGTTTCTTTCTTACGCATCTATTTTTTCTTCGGTTAAAAATTTTTTTTTTCTTCTCTTCTTGTCGCTTTTATGGCAAATATATATTTTAATTGAGATATATTTACTTTCTAAATCAATCTCGTATAATTATCACATGACACATTTAATCATTTTTTTCTTTTACAACGTTCTAATTCATCTTTGTTATTATTTTTAGTCAAATTACAAATTGACGTATTTTGTTTCATCACATCTATTTCTTCTTAAAAAATATAAAAGAATAATTTTATCGCAATCTAGATTCCTTTCTTTTAAAAAAGTTTCGTTTTATTAAGATCTCGATTAAGATCAACCGCACATGACTCAAGCTTGGGGATTTTAATGCTCGCACAGCGAGGTGTGCAATGTTTTATCCCGGTACATTTTAACCTTTTCCTATTCTAATGAAAGATATATATCCCGCAATATAATTTTTTAAATACAAAAAATTCTTTTATATTATAATAAACTTTTCAATTTACTTTATTACATGAACACACGACACATATACACATTTTCTAATGGTATAGCTTTAAATCATTATAAAACATATGTCCCATTAATAACAGACTTTGTGTGTTCTATTAATCTGAATTTTTAATCATGCCCTTTGCGTATAAGTCACTTTTCAATAATGTCATCGTTAAAAGAGTTAAACGCACACACAAGCCTAGTGCTTACAAATCTCTCATAGGTATCTCTAATCGACAATATTTCCGGAGGATGATCACGCGTCCTCGTGTGGCCGTCACGCATCGAGAAACCGGCGTTCGACATCTGTGTTCAGCTGATCCAGATCGATTTTTCGTTACGATTTGTTGATCACGACTTACTATCCGAGGCATAGTGCACGAAAAGAAGTTAAGCGAAAGGCTTCTCTTAGAGAAGAAAAATGTGTATAAATATATATACGTATACGTGGCTCTGTTATGATAATGTCATTTTCCACATTATTAAATAATGCAAAAAGATAACAGATTAAAATATTTTATTGTTAATATCACTGTATCTACAATAGTGACCAAATTAGAGAGATTTTATTAACAAAAAAATTGATGTAAAGTATAAACTAAAAATCTAACAGACACATTTCTTATTCGATTGTTTTACCATTCATGAGAATCGAGATTTCCGAATAGAATGTACATTAAAATATATAAAAAGATGTAATAAGCCAAGCATGAAATTACTTATGACGTCAAGTATACAGGCACAAAAACCATCTTAGAATTTAGAATCTGTCGAACGAAAATTGACACTAATTTGATAGAAAGTGGAGCCGGAGCAGTAAATCTCCGCTTCGAAGGCGACTAGTAAAGCAGATTTAAAAAATCTGTAAGGATGTGATACGTATGTACGTCGTCGGTTTCACGATCCTAGCCGGTAATTTCCGTGCCGAGGAAAAGAAAAGTGTCTACCAGCTTCCACGAGTGAGGACTCCTACTATCGATGAAGATAACGAAGATTGTCGTCGCGACTCGCGGTAGTTCAAGATTGGATCGGGAAAGACAGACTCTGGCGCCAGTTAAAGAACGTGCAAAAAGAGAAAATCTATGGACAGACTAACCGGTTACAGAGCTCGATGACCGACCAGAAGCTTCCATTATATATATCCTTATAGCCTCGGGTTTCCTCGGAAGTAGTTTGTCTATAGATTCTCGGAATTCGATCAGGATGTATCCCGAAAAGAATTCCTCTCGCACAATCAAATACAAGTGGAAGGATGATTTCATAATTTTACATAAAAAATGACACTGACTTAATTGTTTTTATTACACTGTTAAATTCATAATGTCAATTTATACCCATGTGAGTTATTTTTAATCATATCTATAGGTCGTCATTGTTCCTACTCAATATGTCATTAATTTAATTAAAACGATGAGTTAAACAATTTAACTTGAGAAAATGTATTAAATTTGAATCAAATTTAGTTTATTATTTATTAATGAATATGTTAATGGACATTTTTACTTTGAAACTAATTCCAAAAATAGTAGATTAATTTAGGTTTTAATACAAATGGAATTTGAAAATAATAAAATGTTATTTAACTTAAGGGATTAGATTACTATTACTCCTTTGATATCTAAGAATAAGTATGGATCAATTAACAGATCTGCAATGATAAGAAATAACGTGCGACACGCTTGAATCATTTCATTCTAGCTCTGACTTTATACCTTGTTCTTTTCGTTTTCTCGCACTACTGACAGCTTTTGTATCGACACGTCTGTCGTTGTACATTTTATAATGAAATATTCCTCCCGGTCGAGATTTTACCGTTTTCGGAGACTGTCGTTCGTCATGACAAATAATTACGTTCGCGACGATTTTAAGTATGTTATCGCGGAGCAGCGCCGATAAATCTTCGAGCGTGGTCTGCAACGCAATAAATACGGCTGTACGTGCCCGGGAATAAGAAAGGAACGCTATAAACGACAATACGGAACTCCGCTTTTTTTATTAGTCTCTTTTTTGCCTCTTCGTTGCCCGATGATGGCTCGAGTTCGGACTGTAATTACAGAGTCAGACCGAGTTGACGTCATTGCGCTTCGTTAATGTCGGATCCTGGTACGAAGCCAAGGACGGCCGTTTCCTTATCAATGCTTCGCGAGAACACGTGGACCCGGGGGGCTTGCAATAAAAGGTCGATACACGGTGCAACCGTGTAGATTGCAAAATGGAATGCCATTGTTTTATCGGCGGCTGCCGTTTACAATGTACGCGAAAGGGAAAGACTGGCGTCGAATTATATATCAGTGAGTGATTGAAATTGACATTAGAAAGTATCGTGCATTTTAACGCATACGAGAAAATAAATCTACCATGATAAATTCGTTCGTATATTTTAGTTAGATCGACAAAGATTATTGTTAATTGCGCAAATAATCCGTTTCAAACTTTTTTTGATGGCAAAAAATTCAACGTTTCTTGCTAATAAGAAAAATTATTAAGAAAAATTGAATTTTTATGACTCCCGTATATTACAAGCTTGTATATTTTAGATCATTAAACCTTTACCAATTATATTTCAAATATTATATCGATTATTTCAAATACTTATAGATATATGATACATGTAAAGATATTTATCTTCCCAACAAATATCAGATCTCACGTAGAAATTGTTTTCCACTAGAAACTGTGATTAAGTTTCCAACATACTGACGTCGACAGATTTAGAAATGATGGTACAGACGCTATGTAAAATTCGTTTATTATTTGAAGAGCTCACCTGCGTGAAATCGGCACCGATGAAAGCCTGTTCCATACCAATCCATATCGTGATGGGTATCAACAGTTGCTGGTAAGGTTTCTTCAGCTGGTAAGCCGTAGCGGAGAGCAATTGGATGCCGCTCAATTCTTGGCTGTCCGATCGCCGTTGCTTCTCGCCGTACCTGGAAAACAATTAGGAATTCTATGAACCCGTATGTCCCCTTGAGAAGTCAGTTAAAATATAATTACGTTTTACCGACTTATTAGCTTATTGAATACAATGAGTTTCTAGCGTAATTAGGTACAAATGTATAGAAATAAATCAAGTGCGCATAGTAATCGGTTCGATTCCGGGAAGACAAAATTGCGACCGTCGAGTGATTCATTCTAATAATACGTTTCAGCGATAATGGGGGAATTTTCATTCACTCGCTTTTCCGCTGTCGGCAAAATCTGTGCAATTTTAATCAATTTTAGATGAGAGAATAGTACGGACATCTACGTTTGTTAAAGTTAACATATAGCATTTGTGTCTGACATATCTCTCTCTCTCTCTCTCTCTCTCTCTCTCTCTTTCTGTGTCAAAATGTAAAATTATTGTTTATTGTTTTTAGAAGAATTTTTACGCAGTTTATAATAGCATTGACTTTTAATTACTCTCATTATTCAAGTACTTATTTTTCTCTTTTTATAAAATTATTTGATATTTATTTCGGGATGACAATGATTACTGAAAAAAAGATTGGCTGCTGCAGCAAATTAGATGGTAAAATATGGCATTTTTAATTGGCTGCAGCAGCCAATTTTTGGTTGCGTTAACCTATTTGCAATGTCAACATAGGATTTCGATAGACTAACGCAACCAAAAATTGACTGCTGCAACCAATTAAAAATGCTATGCCATATTTTACCATCTAATTTGCTGCAGCAGTCAATCTTTTTTTTCAGTGTATGCATACTAGATATTACAGTGATCTGTGCGGTTATATTTTACGTCGAACATAATTTCGTACGATGCACGTAATGCGGCATAAGTCAAGAGTTAGGCGAACAAAAGAGCGGGAAACGCGAATGAACAATGATAACCAGCTGCCGTTCAGAACGTATGATTTTCCGGCAGACTTTTGCGCCGCTATTCGCAAAGAGGAAGAGCACGTTCGCTCGGATGGGGATTAATGACGATCGCGATTAATTATCATCGCGATTGTACCATCCATGTACTTATTCAGTGTCCGTGCAGCGTGAGCCACGCGGAAACAAGTTGCGTAATTAGCAAACTTCCACTGCCATTGAACGGTGCCGCGTGTTCATTCATTGTTTTGTGTTACGAATAGATAAACGAATATTGGGTGACGATCCGATTCACATTTTATATTATCCGTAATAAATCAGCGATTGGATGGAATAGTTATATCTAATTACTTTTTAATTTGATTATTTTTTGCACAGTATTTTTTCACGACAATATAAAGTGACACTTAATATTTTAGATTACATCTAAATTATTTTACACAAAAATCATTTTACGTAAAAGATTTATTTTTGCTGACATTAATCTATCAAATGACTGTATTTAATAATTAGCAACGTACATTCTAAAAAAATTCATTGTGCGCATAAAATTTCATTCCATTAATGAGACAATTTAATTATTGTAGGTAACGTAAGATATACATACTATGCGTACTTTTACGCCGATACTTTTCATTGATATGATAAAGAAAGAAAAAAGTCGAAACATCATATCTCGCATTGGCCAAAGTGCTAATCTTTAGTAAAATCGTAGTCTGGAAGATTTATGCGCTGTAAAAGTCGCACGCGGAACGGTACTTCGGTCAATAAAAATTTCGAGATTAACTACGCAGTTGAAACTTGCTTTTGTATAACATTTTTCACGCGAGAATATTCGATATCAATAGCAGATTCAACTAAAAAATTTTAAAAGCTTCAAAAAGCTTTAAAAAATTTTACTCGCATAGCCTGTCCTTATCACAGAATGATAATTGGATCTGAATGCATCTAAAATTTTTCTTATGAGAAATTATACAAAATTTGATTATATCGTTATAATAAATATTCTGAAATATAAAAGGAATATAATGAAATCTTAAAAATTCCTGTTGTATATCACAGAATTAACGGATCACGAGAATGAAAGTTTATTATCGCGTTTTTCGTGGCGACATCCAACGAATATAAGCCCGACACTAAATTTAGCGGACGAACCAGGCAGACGTAATCACCCCTGAAGATCCGCGAGAAGTTAAAGCCCCAGACGGGCGCAATGGCCGATACCGCATCGGTGAGAATTCGCGAAATAAATCTCCTGACACTAAACGCTCGGCATACGCTCGACAGCAAATGTTCTCCACCTTTCCTGAGAACACGTTTGCTGGATTTCTGGGCCCGGCCGAAGCCACGGCCATCGTTGGCAGCCGTAGAGAGCGTAGTTCGAATCGACACTTATGCAAAAACAGGTAGGTACCGCACGACTCTCTTTAAGCGGAAGGAGACGTCGAAAGGATGTGGGACGATGTGATCTTTGACGTGATCTTCAGAGTGATCTTCGATATATTTTACACGGTGATATACACATTAGTCCATATTGCTTTCGAATCGTGTATCGTCATTAATCGCGCCTATTGATAGCTTGAGCGATTGTGACAAGTGATTATTCATCTTTATCATATTCGATGAATCATATCTGTAAACGTCACGTTTTTTTATCTCTTGTACAAACGACGTATTTCCGTACGCGAATATTCGTTAAAATAAAGAGAAATCATCATCTAATACATGTGCCTAGTAGAAGGATACACTGAAAAAAAAGATTGGCTGCTGCAGCAAATTAGATGGTAAAATATGGCATAACATTTTTAATTGATTACAGCAGCCAATTAAAAATGCTATACCATATTTTACCATATAATTTGCTGCAGCAGCCAACCTTTTTTTTCAGTGTATGAATATCTCGTTAGACAAAACTGATTAGTATGATAACGATTAATTTATTTTACTCCACGAATTCTGGAGGAATTCATATTCATTTTTAAGAAAGTTTGTCAGCGAAAATTGCCTGATTGTAGATTATATATTTAATTGACGAAAAGTGCTGTCAATTTTTAGATCTATCTATTTCGTTCACTATTTTTAAACCTTACAATGTCAATCATATCAGCTAATTTACTTTCATGATTCCAGGCGAAGCTGTAATATAAATTAAAAACAAAATTAATTTTCAATTTAATTACAATAATAATTTTTAAAATGAACAAAGCCATCTTAATTTATTAGTCTTCTATTTCAATATAATTATTTGTAGGATTTTGTATTTTTTTCAAAAAGAAATAGCGTTAAATTATTTAGAAAAGCTACAAGATGTATCATTTTATGCCTCATTATTACTGGAAGAAAAGAACTTTCTTGCCACATTAATAATTACAGTAGTAACGCGACAAATATTGATATTTCCGAGCACATTTGTGGCACGTGCACATTTTCTTCAATTGTCACGTGCGCGAGTGTCGCGCAATGCACTTACATTGTCCCCATACCGGAAAATCAATTTGACTCGTACTCGTAATTTCTATGAATTCACGCTACATCATTCGCGAAAACCACAGCCTCTCTTCTCGAATGGAGAGAACAGAACGAATCGATGTACGTTGCATACATATTATAAATACACTTTGCGAACATCGTGAGCGGATTTATGCACGCACGAGTCGCCACGCGTTAATCCAGATACATAATTCAAAAACTTGAACAATTTAATGGACTTCAAGCAGTCAGTGCAAAAAAGTACATTACATTATAGAGCGTGATTACCATTACTAATTTTCCTTCTCTTGCGTTCTTTACCGATTATGCGCAATTTTTGTACTTGGCTACGAAAACGTTTATGTCACTGTAACCTAAGAATTTTTCTTCTCGCATTTTTCAACCAAAGTTGCATTTTCACGAACATAGTTCCGCTGCGCTTTCCAACGTGCACAGACCAGAACTGTTATGATGCAGCCTTGGAAGCAATGCAAATGGAAGATAGCGGAGATGTCTCAGCCGCGATCTGCGTACGGATCTAATACACTCGTTTCTTACGTAACATTTCCCGTATAATATGCAGACATCACGGACGATGCTGTCATTACGACGAATGACGGTGGAAAGAAAGAGAGCGAGAGATCGACAACATGTAAGTACTCATAATACGCTCAGATCTTTCGATATTTTATGGACAATACGTCCCGAAGAGAAAGTTCAACGGACGACTTTGTTTGCGAAATTAATTCCGACAAATTGATTCGATTAAACACTCTTCCTCTTTTCTTCCATCGCGAATTAAATTTTTAGAATCGATAAAATATATATATTATTAATTATTATATATTATTATCCGTAAGATTGCGAATTAAAAACGGCGAAAAGAAGCGAGAGATACATTATAAAATAATTATAGCAACGAGCTTAATTTATTACTTATTATTATTCAATTTGTAACGCAAGATTAAATTGATTTCCTAAGAGGAAATGTACATAACTTATATATTTAGCACATCGATTTCGATATAATTTACGGTCATCGCAGTCTCGTTCTGCGGTTCGCTTTCCTCGACAACGCAGTAAACGTTATGCAGGTCAGAATTGTCTTTCTCTTAATAATATCGCCTTTCGAGTTGCAATGATGTAGTCACGTTTGTTGCTGTGCGTTAACAAACTGGCAACTGCACTCGCTAAACAGGTTCACTATTTCTCGAACCTGTCAGCATGTCAATGATGTATTTCATTTAGAGGAGATAAGTATAGAGCACCTGTGTTTTAATCATAATTACTCGTATTCTCGTATACTTCATATATCTCAAGATATTTAATAATTATTTTTTTAATCTTATTATATTAATTTTGAAAAAGTATAAATAAAGATATATTAATTGTTTAGATATCAATAAGATATATTCAATTTAAAAAAAATAAATATTTAAAATACATTTCTGCATATTAAATGGTATTTCAAAATTTCCTTATATATAGTAATAAAATATTTTTTCTCTTTAAATCTAAACGTCCAATTAGTCTATTAATTTAAAGACTTTCTGAGACTATCATCGCTAATAATGCTTGTACATCGAGCAGACACGCAATGCGTTTAAGACCGTCGAAGTACCGGATATCGAAAGTGAGTCAA